GACCAAGATTACAGATATCTGGATCCAACTGATAATCTTAACGTTAACTGATACAGATCTAGTATTTTCAAAATTGTCATCTGTGGGATTCGAACTCTAGACCTGCCGTCTGGGGTGCGACAACTCCACCACTTCACTAAGTCGCCACACCCTAATTGTTTGTTTTTTAATTAAATATAGGATGAGGTAATTCAAATATTAAATAGCTTTGATAATACTTTAAGTATTAATGAAACAAAAAATAGTCAGAAATATTGTAGCATATAAATAAAAAAATTATACCAACTATTGGTAAGGCTTTGGATAATTGGTTTAGGTATAATCTAGATAAAATAAAGTATATTCTCTAAAGTCTTTACTGGCATCAATATAAAAAATGACAAATCAAACAAGATCTAAAGAAAGCAAAATTTGATAAAAAGCATAAAGAAATAAATATATATTATAGTGAAGTAAGTATTTTTTTTTTATACAATATAACTATTGAATTACTAGTATAGCTTGAAAGTTAATAATATGCTCCAGAAATAATCATTTGATAAACTAATCTATATTTAATTTATAAAAAATAAGGTAATATGTTTAAGAGTTTAATTATATGATTAATACTTGTGATAAAAACCTCAAAAAACTTGTCTTTTCTATTAGTTGGAATGATTTTAAAGATGATCTCAAAGATATAATAAACAAAAAAAGCTTTTATTTAGATAAAGTCTTGGAAATGGATATAGAAAGAATAAAAACTAAACAATGATTAAAAATTTAACCAGATTACAAAAAAAAAGACAATTTTCATGTAATTTAAGTTTATAATAAGCAATAGAGATCTTGAAGAATTATTAATTATTATTAAAGTTTTTTATTAAATTTTTATAATCTTTTCTTTTATTTTCTTTTATTTTAAAATAATTAGATTAAAAAAATCCTTTGACTTGTCAATAAAATAGAAGAAAAAATTTTTCATATTAAATACTCTAGAAAACAATAGTATTGCAATACAAAGTGGTGAATAAATTAAAATCACTTCTTGATGCTTTGATTTGGTTTATTTTAACTTCATATATTTTTAATAAAGATAGTAAAAATGATGAATATAGTAATGATAAAGAGGAAGTTAGTAAAAGTAGCAATAATAATATCATTGCAAATAAAAGTAGAAGTGATAATAGAAGAAATAGTAATAATGATAGTAATAGTAGTGGTAGTGAAAATGAAAATGGTAATGCAAGTGGTAGTAGAAATAGTAATAATGATGGAAATAAAAACACAAGTAGTGGCAAAAATACAAGTAGTAGTAAAATAGAAGTGGTAGTAAAAATAGAAGTGGTAATGGCAAAGAAAGTACTATTACTAAAGATAAAGAATTTTAAAAATTATAAAAGATTTGTAATATTTTTTTTTAGCTATAACAATATATAAAAGTATTAAAGCTATACTTCAATTTAAATAAATATATTAACATACAAATGCTTCTATAAAACAAATATTATAATATTTATATAAGTATATAAATAAAAATAAATAAAAAATAGCCTAGTTGAAAATAACAATAAGTATATTATTTAATCCCAAAATGTATCTGATTTTCTTGCAATTTAGAGCAAAATAAATTTCAGTCAGGTTTATTAATAGGCCTATAACAATATTAAACTTAAAAAGTTTCCAATTTCAAACAGATACTTAGCAAAAATAGGAAACCAATAGGAAATAATTAAGATTAAAATCGATCTACCAGTAGGCTTTTAAGTAATCGATAAGTATCTTAAATACACCTGAAGTGTATCCAAATTACTTGCAATTTCAAGTAAAATAAAAACCAATTGGAAATAACAAAAGGCCTACCAAAAAATCAATTTTGTTCTTAAATATCTCCGAATAGACTATGAATTCAAACAGATATTTGGTGAAAATAAGATACAAATCAGAAATATTTAAGAACAAATTAAGTCTAGTATTGAAAAACCGGTAGCCCTTTTATTTATTCAATAGTTATCATAATTTATTCTGATAAGTATCTGGTTTTATAACAATTTTGAGTAAAATAAGTTATCTATCGCGTTAATCAATTGGCCTACCGGCTATTTGATTTAGATCCGATTGGTATCTTATTTTCGCCAAATATCTGTTTGAAGTCATAGTCCAATCGGGATTTACCTGTCAGTAAACTTTCGTATGCATATCGGATTAATATAGGAGACCTATCGGTTACCCGATTGTTACCCGGTATAGTTTCGTTCGACCTGTGTTCGTCTGGCAAAGTTATTGCATGATAATCAAGACCGAGACGAAAGTGCGTTTGTTGCATTGCTTAAACTCCATGTTAATAGTAATGGATTTAAATATCCTAAGATCATTTAAAATCACTACTGAAAGTTGCAATCAATCCATTAAGTTTAGCTCATGAATCCATGGGTGTATTTCCACTATATGTAATATATACGGTATATACTGTACTTGATGTATTAAATTGCTCTACAAATAATTATCATAAGGATAATAAAGCCAAAAATATAAATTATTTTTTCCACAATACGCACTATGCAGTAGTAGATTGTATTGAGACATTTCCTATTATTGTAAATGGTTTAGAAACGTCTAGATACGTAAAAGATTTCATTCGTAGTGCCTTCAACATAATTACTATTAATCGGAGTCAACACAAGTACCATTACACAATGTTTGACCAATAAATAATAATAATGAAGGGCCAGAGAAAATAAAGAAAACGGGTTATGGTCCCAGGAAGGATCCCATTCTTAAATCTTTTATAGAAAAACTGGTTGAGGAATGAATCGAGTTCCAAGCATGAGAGGATGGAGATAATAGATGATTTTCTAAAATTTCTATACCTCTTATAATTCGTAGGTCAATGTAAAATCTGAATTTTTTAATAAATATATATACTTGATTTAATTTCTATACGTATAAAAGATTTTTAAAATTTTATTAATAATTTTATACAATAAAGTTGATACAGTATAAAATATACTAACAGTATTAGAAATTACTAAAAAAAATGGTACGTCAAAAAGATTTTTTTTATTATTAAAAAATTATTCAGTATTAGATTATTAAACAAATTTTTTAAATACTGTATAAAAAAAAAAAAATTTAGATTTATAATTTTTTAAATTTCTACACATTTTAATAAATGTACTACAGTAAATCTAGTAATAAACTAGTAAAAAAAAAAAAAAAACCTAAATCCAGTTCATTAACAAAAAATTTAAGATTGAGCGGCTTTATTATTTTTTGGCATTTTCTTTTTACCCTCTAAATTATCTAACTCGGATTTTGAATAATAATACGGAGCAGCTATTAAAAAAAGTTTTTAAGTTAGTATTTCAATTTTTTTTCAAAAGTTTGTGAAGCAAGGATTTCAGATTAATAAAATAAAAACCAACCTTCTATTAACCATTCAGGTTTAATTTCCATTACTTGACGCATATACTCTTTACTTGTAAGTACCAATTCATAAAATATAATCCA